TCTCTCCCTTTGCTTTTTATCTCTCCGCATTTTCTGTGGTCACTGAGGAGCTGGTGCACTGATTTCCCCTTATTGTGAGCCTATCAGAAAAGCTGTGTCCGTTGTTCCCTTCCTACAGGTAGCACTTCTGGTCATTCAGGCGACCCCGATGCATTCAGCCCAGTTTGCAGAGGGTGCTGACCTGCCATTAAGCGTTCAAGGGGATTGTTCAGGGGGCTCTGGAGCTCCTCTCCTCAGGGGCGTCTGCTCTGCTCTCTGCCTGGGCACCGCAGGGTGGTCTTCCTGCAGGGCTTGGCAAGCAGAGGCACTGCCGGTCCTTGGAAATGAGGCAGATGACCCTCGGCAGAAGATGCGCAGAAGTAGTGATGAGGACCCCATTTCCCACCCAGCAACTGCCCTCCTGAGGACTACTGGACACAAAATTAAAATAAGATAGCTTATTACCCAGAGAGTTGAGAAAGGCACATCGTAGAACAACCAATTATTTCATTTTAAATGAAGTTATATATTGGTCTTATTTAGAATTTTGTTTGCTTTAAATAGATTGCTCTCATNCCCCCCCCCCCAGACAATCCTTTGCAGTGAAGAAGAAATGGGAGAGCCCCAACTAGCCAGCTGGCTGATCCCCCTGCCATTAACCGAAAACCAGATGGCAAGTGAGGACAGGAAGGGCCAGGAGCGGGTTGCCCCTCCTGCCCAGGCCCAGGGGCAGGTCCTGAGGCCACGGAGGGGGATGTGGCAGGCCTCCAGTTGTTGGATGCCGCCCATCTGGGAGAGAAAGCCCTTCTCTCTGGCTGAGAGAGGCTTTGTTCCTTGGGGCAGATGTTCCCCCACACACACACAACACACACAATTTTGATTTTTAACTAAGTGTGTGAGCGAGTGAGATTTCTTAAGGGTAGATTCTTCCTCTTTTCATTTGGCCACCTTCATTTTCTGTTCATTTTCTGTGAATTAACTTTCTTCTCCCCCTCACAAAGAGAGAGAATGTGAAAAGCCGAAAGGATTTTACATCTTTACACAAGGGGGGGGGGGGGGTTGGCACAGCCTGTGAATCCGGGGTCCTTTCTTTTCAAGCGCTCTTCTCTTTCCCCTTCCTGTAGCTCCATTCAGCCTTTCTTTTCAGAGCTCTCCATCCCCCCCTTCCTTTTTCCATCGCTTTTCACTCTGTTTTTCTCCCCCACCCCCCCTCTGAGGCTCCTTTCCCCCTTCATCCTTCCTCTATTCAGTTCCTCTAGTGTGTGTGTGAGCGTGTGTGCGTGCACTGCTTCTTTTTAAATAGCTTTTCTATTTTCAGAGAGCACATGGAACATGTAGGAAGAGAAATAATTTCAGCAAAAAAGGAACGTGAAAGACTCTTTCTAGTTATTTTAGCAAAAGTTATTTTATACCGGGTCTTCATAAGACAGTACAGCTCTTCTTCTCTTGGAACTGTGATTGTCTGTGCACAATCAGCACAAGTGTCCCCATATAAAAAAAAAAAAATCCAGCTGCCCATCTGGTGCGTGTCCTGGTGCTGCAACCGCCAGCCATCTCCCGCGAGCTCATCTGGAGCATGGTGTCCCTCAACCTGCAAGTGGCCTTCCGCCTCTTTCTCTGGCTAGTCTCTGCTGCATCTGTGGCATGGGGGGGGGAGGAGGGGGCTCCGCTCTGGAAAGCAACAGCGAAGGCCAACCAGTCTGCCAGTGCCCCATTCATTCAGTGCTATCGTTTCCTGACTTTAGGTAGTCTTCAGAGTAGAGTTGCTGGGCCTGCCCAGCATACTTGAAGCAAAAGATGGATTGTGCTTATGACCTACTGACCAGAGTATGTCAAAACTGACCTGATGGCTAGCAGGGCATGCTGCACAGGGCACTGATGTGAGTGAGGTTGTTTGACAACTTAGCTAAACCTTCTCTAGTTTACTAAAAAGCACTATGGGAAAGTCAGGATGGGCACCGCAGGGGAAGGAAAGTGGAATACTGAGGTTGGTGATAGAGGCCCATTTCTGGTGAATGCTACAATGGAAATACCAAGGAGAAAATAGTGCAGTGTCCTAGACCAGGAGTAGGCAACTTTGGCTCTTTTATGACTGGTGGACTTCAACTCCCAGAATTCCTGAGCCAGCCATGCTGAGGGTTTCCAAACTGAGCCATGCTGGCTCAGGGATTCTGGGAGTTGAAGTCCACCAGTCATAAAAGAGCCAAGGTTCCCCACCCCTGTCCTAGACAAATGCAGGGTCTCTGCTAGGGGGCACAAAGACCCAGGTGGGAACAAGGGCTCTCCTGCAGTTGGCTTTAGGGTGATTCAATGAGGAAGGATAAGCTGAAGGAAGCGACACTGTGCAGAATATTCCGGATGTCCGGCAGATGAAGTTGCTCTGATCTGTTGAGAGCTGGGCTCCAGCTGAGTGGCTGAAGTGTGGACTTGTGGGGCTACTGGAGCAGGTTTTACTGGTTACTGACACATAATGAAATGGACAAGGCCATTTAGCTTGTGAGCATGGCCACCTCCTTATGAGGTGCAGGTTGTTAAAGATGCCTGGGAGATATCTGTGGTCGCGTCCAGGAAATGTTGCCGGCTTCTTTGAGAGAGGGATAGTTCTTTGGTCTTGAAGAAGGTGGTGGCAGCTGTTGCTCCTTGCCCATCAGCAGCTTTTAATTCCATCCGTCGTAGTATCCTTCCATGCTGGCTGTGGAGATTGGGAGTGGAGGGCAGCATATTCTCCTGGTTCGCTTCTTCCTCTCTGGTTGATCCCAGGCTGTATTGATGGGGAGGGATTGGAATCCATTATTCTCAGTATGCTGAGGATACCCAATTGTACGTCTTGCCCAAGTGAGGTTGTCAAAGGCCTGGAGGCTTTAGAGGCCTGCTGGGGAGAAAGAAACTCAGGCTACACTCTGGTCATCCAAATGGCCATAGATGTTGCCCTAAAAGACCACTCAGAAGCTGCTGTCCGCAATTTGTAAAAAGTCAAAAGTCAGTGTGGAAAATCATGTGTGGGTGTAGTTTGCGAGCTATGCTGGCTCAGGAATTCTGGGAGTTGAAGTCCACGAGTCATAAAAGAGCCCAGGTTGCCTACCCCTGGCCTAGACTCTCCTGCTTGAGCAGGGGGCTGGACTAGAAGACCTCCAAGGTCCCTTCCAGCTCTATCTGATTGATTGAACGCTGGGCCGGGGGGGGGG